CCCCCCCCCCCCCCCCCCCCCGCAAAACCAGCTTCTCTTAAAACTCAGAACCCTGTACGTTTGGTTTGAAAAAAGAAAAGAAAAAAAAGGCTTCTAGAAGAAGAATCCTGAAGGCAGGAAAGTTTAATTTGCACAAATGACATCAGCTCTCTGAGATTCGTTCTCTTGCTTTCGGAATTCTCTCAGCCACCAGCCCAGCCCTTAGGGGCAGCCCATTGTAGTTGCAAACTCCAGTCCAAGGAGGGGACACAAATCATTCTTAGCCCAGCTGCTAATCTTAGCCCAGCTGCTAATAACAGAAAGCTTTTATTTTAAAAAATCAAGAAAATAAGAGAAATTATTATAGGGTATCTGAACAACATAAAAAGTAAACTCTAAAAGCCAGCATTCAGAGCCAAAGGCAGTCAAGCCCCAAAGGTCCAGTGGCTCAGCAAGTACCAGTCCATCCTGGCCAGGTGGCCTCAAATTCTTCTTAGCTGATCTAAAGGCCCCTTGTGGTCCATTCTGAAAGAACAGCAGACAGTGTTCCTCCCTCTCCACTCTCCACTTGCTTGGTCTGTAGATTTTTCTAGGTAATATAACATGTTTGTTCTTCAACAAGAAAATGAAAAATCATCGTCTCCCCACTACCAAGAATTAACCACTATTACTTTGACTTGTCCTAGGACTTTTTTCTCACATACAAATAGATGGCCTGTAAAAGGTGGATAGATTACTGTCTGGATCTGAAATGTTCCCCAAAGGTCCCTATGGGAAAGGCCCGTGGGACTGTAGGAAGGGAGGGGTCTCAGAGAGGTGGGACCTAGTGGGAAATTGGTCACTGAAGTGTGGCCTTGAAGGGGGTACTGGGACTCGCCCCTTCCTGTCTCCTGGCTTCCTGGCTGCCATGAGAGGAGCAGCTCTACTCCACCACATACGGCAACCATGATGTGCTGCCTTTCCACAGGCCACAGTGGAACAGTGGACCCAATGACCATGGACTGAAACCTGTGAAACCATGAGCCAAAATAACTTTCTTCTTTTGAAGTTTGGTTATCTCGGGTATTTGTGTCTCAGCGATGGAACTCTAACAATCACAGTATATCTTGTTTTGAACGTACCTCCATGTCAATAAATTGTCTGCAAAGATCTACACTCTCCAACAACAGCTGATGGTGGCTGTCCCAGCTGACAACAAAGAGCTGAGGTGGCTGTGAAGATGAACTAGGTTCTCCTGGCTTGGGTTATGGCAGCCACCTCTGGGCCAGAGTGAGGACTTGCCACAGACCATGGTCGTGTACAGGAGGTTGTTCCCATTTTACATTTATTTAATGATTGAAAAAATCAAATACCAGGATTTCATGACACTTGAGAATTACATGGAACACAAATCTTGGTGTCCTTCTCTAGACCAGTCCTTACTGGAACGCAGCTGGGCTCACTGTGTCACTGCCTGCAGCTGTTTTCACATCACAAGTGCAGAGGTGAGAAGCAGCCACAGTCTCTGTGCCCTGGAAATGAAAATTATCTGCTACTGGCCATGTACAGAAAGTTACAGCCCCTCATCCAGAACCACTTCAAGGGCAAAGGAGATAATGTCCCATGATTCACTTGGAATCACAGACGGAGACATTTGGAACAGCAGGGAAAATGGAGTCCATGGAACTTAGTAGTCCCTCATACGACTCCAATAAGTCAGATGAGCCTCAGCCTCCCAGAAGAGAGAAGTTCCAGCAAGGGCCCAGTATTCCTGCTGAGCCTACTCGTCAAAGGGGATGGGGTCCGTGACCACTGGCTATGAGTGCTCTGGTGCCTTGGTTCCTAAGAGTTCAAGAAACTTAATCCTTAATCCTCAGACTGGGAGAGGGGAAGAGAGACAGAGAGTGTGTGTGTACACAGAGAACAGAATAAACAATGCAGAAGGGGACGCTGGACATGGGTGAGGAAAGATACCAGGATTTAGGAGGAATCCTGGCCATGCTCTGTCCTGTGGTGAGGAGTGAGCATGGGTTAGAGTTGTGGCGGTGGAAGGCAATCTGGTCAGGAAGGCTCCACACCCTGAGGTAGCTGCAAACTTAGTGTGACAATGAGAGTATACTGGGGACTCAGCATACTGGGATAGAGTCACAAGATGTCAGTCGAGCAAGCTGGGGCCCGAGACAGGCCTAAAGAGCAGCCCAACTCTCCCCATCCTTGCCCTAGACAACAATGAATCTGCCTCAGGAAATCAGTCTGCCTGGCGCTTTGCACAGGCCCACCCATGACAGACATCCACAGAGCTGAGCAGCTCTGTACATAGTACCAGCCCTCCCTGGATGGGGTCTTTATCAAAGAAACTTGCAAGCAGAGGGAAAGGCAGACAGGCAGATGCCAAAGGAGGCTGGATAGAGAGCACCTCTCCTTCAGCACATCTGTCTTTAGTGTCCTTGGGAAAGAGCCTGAAGCATCACACACCTGGACCACATCTGCAGCTCCTTCTGTCAGCCTCCCCTCTGCAGTGCCTCTGTCCTAGCCTGTTCTGGGCACTCAGCTGAGGAGCACCAATTAAAGTCACTATCATGAAGGACGGTGACCCTTAGAAGAGTTTGTAGCACAGAGCACACTAAGGATGATGTGCTGCCCTGATTTCTTGGAGAGAGGCAAATACATTTCCAAGTAAATCAACTGGGGAGTCACAAGGCTTAGCAGAGTACACTAACTTCTAACCTAGATCTTGCCCTCTTCCCAGCCTGTGTCTGAGAACAAGTTTCTTGTAGGCTCACTTGTGACTGGGAAAGACACTCTGCTACCCCTGAGTTGCTGGGTGGAGAGGGATTGTAAAGCAACTCTGCCACTTTACAGTGAGTGACGCCACAGAAAGTGGGATGTCAAGGCTATGTAAAATCCTGCTTTTGTTTTCTTTAACACAGTTGGGTTCAGACAGGTACAAAATAGGAGCTGTTCTGCATACTAACATAGCAGTACTTTCACTGCTAATTGTGTTACTTTTATGGACATACCAGGAAGAATGTCAAGAGTACTGGCAAAACTCATGAATGTCTCTAAGGTGCACGTGTGCACCCTTGCAAGTGCCTTTTAATATTTCTTCCAGACAACCAGAAATAAATCCCCACCCTACTCCTCACATTAGCAGGCAAGTCACGGAGATAGAACTTGAAATGCCAAAGTCCCCTGCTGCTATGGGGCAGCAATGTACTCATTTTTTTTCAATATCTAATTGAACCCAGGAATGCCCTATCACTGAGCTACATCCCCAGCCAAGTTTATGCTTTTCATTTTGAGTCAGGGTCTCATTATGTTGCCCAGGTGAGCCTTGAACTTGTGATCCTCCTGTCTCAGCCTCTTGAGAGGCTGGCTTGTGCTGGCTATTCAATTTTACAAATTATTGTTTCCCTGGGTCAAAGGAAGGGTCTCCTCCAGTGTGATGGAGCCCTGTGGCAGTGGGTGGGACTTCTCTAATAAGGAGCAGTGATTCTCACACCTGAGAGTGATCTCTTGGGGTGGAGGTGGTATCCTTAGCTCTGGATATCAAGTACAGAAACTGTGGAAAAGAAGGGATGCTTCACCAAGGTATTTTTGCTTGGTTTGTCTTTTTCACATTTTCCTATTGATCTGTGAAGACAGTCCTATGAAATTTTGTTTTAAATAAAAGCAGGAGGTTTACACAGTAGTAATTGTGAGCCAGAGGGCTCCTGCGAAACAGATGATTTTTTTTTCCAGTATTGAGGATTGACCCCAGGGGCTTTGCACATTGAGCTACATCCTCACCTCTTTAGTTTTTTTTTTTTTTTTTTTTGTACCAGGGATCGAACTCGGGTTCTTGTCCTTGCGAAGCAGGCGGCAGAACCACTGAGCTAAATCGCCGGCCCCCACCCCTTTAGTTTTTGAGACAAGATCTCAAAGCTGGGCTTGAACTTGTGATCCTCTGCCTAAGCCTCCAGAGTTCTGGGGCGACGGATGTGTGCCACCACATCTGGCTAAAGCTCAAGGTTAAACCACATCTGAATCTGCTTGCATCCTCCAGTTTGCTAAAAGCTTGACCACACTCCATTATTCATCCAAAGTCTGTTAGATATTCCCTGCCTGGCCTCTGAAAGCATCTGAGGTTACCAGTCTAGATTTGCATTCAACTCCCTTATTTTATAGTCCAGGGGAAGAAAAAAGACTTCAAAAAGAAGAAGCAACTTGCTAGAGGAAGCAGCTCTGGAGAAAAGAACACATTTTCTTGCTGTCTGGATACACTACTCTGTCTTTTAGTGACAAACTTTTTACTATGGCCCAAATCAACATTCATTACCAAAGAGAAAAGCTGAACCTGCAATTCCATGTTTTCAAGAGGGTGGGGCTGGGCCTTGAGGTACAGCCCTGTAATCTCAGCAGTCTGGAGACTGAGGCAGGAGAATCCTAAGGCTGGGTCCAGCCTGTGGTTGTAGCATGAGGCTCTGAGTTCAATATCTAGTATCAAAAAGAAGAAAGGGAAGTATGGATGGAGGGAGGAAGAAGAGAGAGAGAAGGGAGAGAGGGAAAGAAGGGGGGAGAAAGAGAGAGAGGGAGGGAGAGAAAGAAGAGAGAGAGAGGAAAGAGGGGAAAGGGGGGAGAAAGAGAGAGAGGGAGGGAGGGAGGGAGAGAGAGAGAGATTGATCGATCCCCATTACAGGGAAAAAAAGAAAGGTTGTTCAAGGATGGTGACAATTTCTTGTCTGTGGAACATAGTCATGTAAATAAAAAGTTTATCCAAATTTAACCTCCCCAAAGTGGCACACTTCAAACTACAGACAGTACTAGAGTATATAAAGAACCGAAAAAAATCAGACCCCCCCAAATTCAAAGACCCAATTCAAAAATGGGCATCTGAAATGAACAGACATTTCTCAGACAAAGAAGTAAAAGCAGCAAATAAAGATATGAAAAACTGTTCGACATCACTGGTCATTCGAGAGATGCAGATGAAAACAACACTGAGATTCCACCTCACCCCAGAAAGAGTGGCTGCTATCAGGAAATCAACCAATAACAAATGCTGGCGGGGGTGTGGAGAGAAAGGAACCCTTCTCCATTGTTGGTGGGAGTGCAGACTGGTGCAACCACTATGGAAATCGGTGTGGAGATACCTCAAAGAACTAGGACTAGAGGTCTCATTTGACCCAGCTATTCCCCTGCTGGGGATCTTCCCAAGAGAATTAAAAGAATCATACCACAGAGATATATGTGTTCCCATGTTTATTGTGGCACAGTTTGTAATAGCTAAAGCTTGGAAACACCCCAAGTGCCCATCAACTGGAAACTGGATAAAGAAGATGTGGTTTTTTAATGAAATGGAGTACTACTCAGCTATAAAGAATTAGAAACTAGAGACATTTATAACTAAATGGATGCATATTGAGGCCATCCTCTTAAGTGAAATAAATAAGACACACATGTGTAAATACTGAATAGTTTCTCTAGTGTGAGAAACTGAGTGTAAATAAGGATTAAAAGGATTAATAAATAATAATTGATACTTTGACATAGGAAAAGATCCAAAGGGGTAGGGGTGGTGGGAGGAGATGGGGAAAGGGAAGAATGGAAAGGAAAAATTATGAGAAAAGAAAAAAAAATGGAAAGGAAGTATGCAAATAGGGAAGGGTGGAGGGGGTGAAGGGCGCACAGGTAATGGGGAAAAACTAAGAACCAAGATACATCATGTACAGGTACAAGCACCCAAAGATAAATGTAAATGTATTGTATACCTAAAATGTACCAATAAAAGAATTTAAGAAAAAACAAAAAAACCAAAAAACTACAGATAGTAGAGAACCTAAGCCGCAGTTCAGGCCAGGAACCTTATTTCCCAGCTCACGTTTCTACCCGAGAGAGCGGAGCAGAAGACCGGAAGTTGCGCGAGCTGCGGGGTGGAACGAACCACTGCTCCCTTCTTCACGCTGGCCCGAAGACAAAGGTGAAGCCTTTATAAGCGTCCCCCTTTAGTTCAGGTTGGGCACAATTGTGGATGCAGAGGCTCCACAGTGGTTTTCAGAGTGAAATGCCGGGCAGAGGCTGTTGCCCCGACTGCGGCTCCGCTGAGCTCGTAGAAGACTCGCACTATTCGCAGAGCCAGCTGGTGTGTTCAGACTGCGGCTGTGTGGTCACCGAAGGGGTCCTTACCACTACCTTCAGCGAGGAGAGCAACCTCCGAGGTACTGTACTTGTTCCTGGCCTTCTGCGGGCCTTGGACATGATCTGGGGCGGTGAATCGGTTGGCCGCTGGTTTCTCTTCTTAATTCCATCTTTCCTTGTCCTGCGCACACTTACTTGTGGACGGAAGAAGGAGGTCAGGGGCTGCCATTCACCTGTGTTTTCTAGTGCGGCATCTGGTGTACATAGTGGGTATAATAAATGTTGAATAAATGAAGCAGGAAGAGTTTGGTCAGTGTTGAAAGGTTGTGGGTAAATTCGTTATGAATTTAGAGTAGCACTAATTGGCAAAACAACAGGAAAAATCCCCTTTTTCTTTGCTTTCCAAGTATCTGAACAGGGCAGCCTTCAAAATCTGTAGCCAATGGGCCGCGGATTTAGCTCAGGGGTTTCTCCGCCTGCTGCGCAAGCTCAAGGACCCGAGTTCCATCCCTGATAGCCCCCCCCAATATATATATAGATAGATATATCTATCTATATCTATCTATCTATCTATCTATCTATCGATAGATAGATAGATAGATAGATATCTGTAGCCAAGAAAATTACCTAAATTGAATGCGAGGGAAAAGGACTGAAACTTTGGAATAGTTGGAGCTGGTATAAGTGTGGGACTAACCTTTAATCTCAATGTATTTGATCCCCCTGTGGAGGTAGAAAACTAGATGAGCCTTTTCTTATGCTTGCATGGGCACCAGTCTGTGGGGCAGGGAACAGACATGCAATGATCAGAATTCTGCTCCCTGGCCTTGTGTGGTGGGAGGGCAGGGTTCTAACGAATAGAGGGTAAGCATGCTATTTGTTGTTCGTTGTCTTACAGAAATAACGTATTCTCGAAGCACAGGGGAGAATGAACAAGTTAGTCGCAGCCAGCAACGAGGTGAGAATCATCCTTTTATGACACAATGGCTTTAAAGAAAATTATCCTGATGGCCCTGCCTGTCTGTGTGCTTTTCTTGTTTTAAGCATTACTAGTGTAAGGGAGAGTAGAAGAAACTAGCAATTAGAAATCAAAGTTGGAGATGTTTCTGAGAGTCGTAGCCATTCCGGATGTGTTTTGGGCTTGCACAGGGGTATGTTTGAGAGGAACCTGGATAAAACTTTGGCTTCAGGGGTGGGGAGGCCCTGGTTTGATTCCCAGCACTACAAAAAAACAAAGCAAAAAAAAAAAAATCAAATGTTCTCCTGTTGATATAGACAGGTGGATTATTTGTGCCTCGGATATCTGTGACATTTAGAAAAACTTAATGAAGTCATAGAAGATCTTCCTAGGTTGTGCACACTATTTCCTCCAACCCCTCTAACTTTAGCTGTGGGTTTTCCTAGGTCTCCGCCGAGTGAGAGATCTCTGTCGAGTTCTGCAGTTGCCAACGACATTTGAGGAGACTGCTATCACCTACTACCAGCAGGCATACCAGCACTCTGGCATCCGAACAGCCAGGCTGCAGAAGAAGGAAGTATTGGTTGGGTGCTGTGTTTTAATCACCTGCCGTCAGCACAACTGGCCCCTAACCATGGGAACCATCTGCACCCTGTTGTATGCAGACCTGGATGTGTTTTCTGGTGCCTACATGCAGATAGTGAAGCTCCTGGGGCTGGATGTGCCATCTCTATGCTTGGCTGACTTGGTGAAGACTTACTGTAGCAGGTACCTGCCTGGCGGGGACACTGGGATGGATAGGTCTGCATATCTGAATCATTTTGCCTAGGTCTATCTTTTTTCTTTTTTTTTCATTTAAAAAATTCAGAGTTCATTTAAAATAATGTGGGAGAAAAATCTATTCTCCATATCCCATGCCTGCTTACCAGTAAGGTTGATACTGTTGTGTATTTCTAGAATACTTAATTTTCAAATCTCTTTGCCTTCACAGCAACCTAATGGTTTAAGAAAAGTAGTTACTAGCCTTGGCGTAGGGCTGCTGACTTGAACTTGTGTTACATGCTCTATGAAGGGCACTTCTTGGAGTTGCACAGTGTGGAGCAGTGTGGCTGTGGGATCATCTGTGAATGGAGCTGAAGGAGTATTGGTTAAAGGCAGAACTGGGACTAAAAACTGAGCCTTTTTTTTTTTTTTAAGAAGCTATGTTCTTTCTTGTTTCTTCTAACAAACACAGTAGAAAACAAAGGCAGTTGGTGTCATATAGCCTTGGGTTTGGAGATTGGTTACGGAGAGGGGGTCTAGCATGAGTGAGGGCCTGAGTTTAATCCCCAGCACCAAAAGAAAAAGAAAAGACATTTCTGAACCTTGCTTACTTCTTAGCTGGGTGGCTAGGCATAAGTTTTTCAACTCTAAATGCACAAAACAGCATGGAATTTTAAGTAGGTTAAATGAGAACATTGTAAAGAATAGTGGCAAATGGGGAGGTGCTCAACTGATGTTAGTGCCTCGCTGTTGGTTTCTGCCCTTCCTCTGATGTGCAGAGCACTTGCCTCGTTTTCTATCGTGACCTCTCTGAATTTGCTGACCAGTAGATTGAGGGCAGAATAGCTTCCCCATCTTGAGCGGACTGTCCTTCCTTACTCTGGAAGAGCAGCCCCTGTCATGGAGACCTGACCCTCGTTTTGGTTGTTTCAGCTTCAAATTGTTCCAAGCCTCTCCATCTGTGCCAGCCAAATATGTGGAAGACAAAGAGCAGATGCTGTCTCGAGCCTTGCAGCTGGTAGAACTGGCCAGTGAGACGTGGCTGGTAACTGGGCGGCATCCCTTGCCTGTCATCACCGCAGCTACTTTCCTGGCGTGGCAGTCTCTCCGGCCTTCAGATCGGCTGACATGTTCCCTGGCCCAATTTTGTAAAATGGCAAATGTGGATCTGCCCTATCCCGCTGCCTCGAGGCTGCAGGAGCTGGTGGCTATCTTGCTTCGGATGGCTGAGCAGCTGGCCTGGTTACGGGTTCTGAAACTTGACAAACGGTCTGTGGTGAAGCACATTGGTGATCTTCTCCAGCACCGCCATCTGCTGCTCCGAATGGCCTTTCAGGATGGATCGTCAGAAATGGAGACCAAAGAGAAGGAACAGCAGAGGCAGAGACAAAGACAGGGAGAAGAGGAGGTGGGGCACAGCACCTTAGATTTGTCTAAGGGGAAGCGACCAGCCAGTCCTGCACTTCTTCTCCCACCCTGCATGCTGAAGCCCCCGAAGCGGACGTGCCCCACGCCCCCCGTCTCCACAGTCACTGGAGACGAGAATATTTCTGATAGTGAAATAGAGCAGTACCTGCGCACCCCTCAGGAAGTTAGGGACTTTCAGAGAGCCCAAGCTGCTAGCCAGGCTGCCCTGAGTGTCCCCAACCCTCCTTGATGCACACCCATTGGAGGTACCTCACCTCCTCCAAAGCAGTGTGCTAATGATCCCAGGAAATAGGTGCACGTAAGCACCTGCATATCTTTCTTGTTTGAAGGAACCAAGAGGGGTGCTGTAGTTAGTTGGACCTGGGGTCCTGAAGGGAAGTTGGGAGGAGTATGTACACGGCTGTGGGTGGGAAAGACTCCTGTCCCTTGGCTACGGGACAGCAAGTTGAATACATTCACATTCTGTGGGATGACTTTCTTAAGACTTGGGGGAAATGGCTGGGCTCTCTCTCTCCCTGGCTTGAGTTGAACACACCGCTATTGATGATTCTGCAGGCCTGGTGGGGCTTTCCTGCTATTTGTGGAGCTGCTGGCATTTGCAGTGGTGTTAACCCCCAGAGGCACAGGAGCTGGGAAACTTTTGGCCTGTTGATTCTGAGCACTGTCAGGCAATTGTGTGCATGGTGTCACGAGATCCTCTACCTCATTAATAAAAGGACCGTGGGTGGACTACAGCTATAGCTGAGGGCTTTGCAAAATTTTAATATATTAAAACAAGAGACATCTGCTAGAAAACATTCTATTGTATAAAATCCAAGCTTTTAAATACATGTTTTCTTTGGCACTTTTCATTCCCTCCCTCCCTCTCCCCAGCATATTGCAAAAAGCTCTCCAGTGCTAAGGCATTGGCAGGGTATGTAAACAACAGCCAGCGTATGTGTAAGAATAATACAAAGCTTTTCCCCCCCTAATATTGTCTGTGCAGCAAGCATAAATAACAGGACCTATCTCAAGGAGCGTAAGTTTCCCCTCCCTGTGTCCTCTTTCCACATGATTAGGCCAGGCTGATAAGACTAGGAAGGGACCTGGGCCAGACCTGGGTCTCACTGCTATTCACAGGGTCCTAGGTTCCTTCCACTTGTGCTTGGTCCTGTAGTGAGGCTGGTGTTTGCATTTTAGGTTGGGAAAAACCAGGTGCTGGTGTTTTAAAGTAGTGAAGGCACAGACCCTTACGCTGAAGCGACCCCAGTCCCTGCCTCAGGGCTTGGCTGGGCTTCTGTGAGTCAGGAAGCTGAAGGTTTCTCCCTATCGTGGAGTTTGTATTTACTGGGGTGGTTCTTCCATATGGCTTCACAGAGGCAAGGAGGTGCTCTTCCTCTGTCCCTCCGCGTTGGAAGGCAGACACTGGATCTCTTAACTGAACTTAAGTGCTTCTCCAAACACCACCTGCAGCATCAGGTGGAGCCATCTTCAGAGCGTTGTTCGTGCATTCCTGCCCGGATCCAGGTGGGGGGCGCCCTCCAGTTCCCTCGTCACCAGGCACCTGGCAGTCAGCTTTGCAGGTGGGGGACTAGACTGTTCTGAGATGCCGCCTCAGGCCTGTTTGGGTACCAGTCACTGGAATGATGTCACCTCTAACTGCAACTGAGTGCCCTTCCACCTGCCTGGCTCCTACAGGACTGGCTGATCTCCATGGCTACCCTTCACACCACGCACCATCCCCAAGTGCATAATCTTAAGAGCAGCACCAGTTAACGCCACCTGGGCCTGGCAGTGGCTCCTGTGCTAGGATGGCTCACAGAGCCAAAGCCTGGGGAGTGAGGTTCCCCGGGGTAGGCAGGCAGCAGAGGGCCTGCGAGGCCCAGGCTCCTGTCCTGTCTTCTTGGGGAGGCTGGCGGCTGCCACAGAGGCCAGGTGCACAGTAACACGGAGACTTGGGGAGGAGCCTGCCCTGGCTGGACAGCTCCTCCGCTCACAGACCAACAGGACTTTACGCCTCCCTGGAAGGGCTCCTAGAACTCGACCTTAAAACTGGCCTGAGCTGGACGGAAGTGTCATGCGTGTTTCTTGGGTCGTCGCTACTGCAGAGGGGTGGCTCTCTAGGCAAGACAACTGCCTCTGTTTTCCCCAGCCTCCCGGGCTACCGACACCGACATTGCCGCCTTGGCCCTGCTGACTGTCAGTAGCCGTCTCTGTGGGCCCCGCTGGAGCTCAGGAGCTCGCGGTAACAATCCGGGTGCGCCTGCCCTAGACGGTGGTCTCGCTCTTCCAGAGGCCAGTCTTCATGCAGCCGCCGCTGGCCGCCTCCACGCCGGTATCGTCGTATTTGCCACCCTTGGGCGCACCGTTAAGGCTGGCAGTGTTGAGTGGGTACGAGCGCCGCTTGCTCTCCTCCAGCGCGCTGCCGCTGCCCCTGAGGCTGTCACGGCTGGCGCTGCGTCGCTGGCCCGGCCACCCCGCCTCTGGGGGCGGAGCAGCACTCGTGTCGCTGCCTTCGGATGGCATAAGCGCAGCCTCGCCCTCCGGCGGGTGGCTGTCGCTCGGGGTACGCCGCTGGCTGCCGCTCTCGCTGGAGGGCGGCTCGGGTGCCCCGAGGACCGCGCCTGCGCGCACAGCCCGCAGCCGGTTCCTGCCACCTGCTTCCCCCGAACGAAGCGCCTTGGCCCTGCTCCGGTGCGCGCGCCGCCCGTGGTGCATGTTGTTGGGGTGGCGCGGGGCCAGGCCCGCCCTGGAACCCGTGGGCTCAGGCTCCCCATCCCCGCGGGTCGCCGCCATCTCGCACCCCTGACTCTGGGCCAGCTGCAGGTTTGTAAGTTTGCAAGGGCCGCTGCTGCCACTCAAAGAGGACTGCAGGGATGCGGGCCCCTCGGCCACCACGAGGGGACCATCCTTGATGGTGCCGGGCACTGCACGGATTGGGATGTGGGGGGCCGAGGGCAAAGCCGGGGGACAGCACGCGCGCCAGGAGGCCCTGACGTCCCTGCGCCTGGCACAGTGATGTGTGAAGACGAAGAGGCCCAGGGCTGAGGCTGCCACCCCATAGAGACAGCTGCATACCACCCGGGGCAGCCAGCGCTGGGACACAGCCAGGGCTCCACAGGCCCACATGGCCAGGTACAGGAAGTGTGTGGTCATCAGCGCCCCTAGCTGAACTCCCGGAGAATAGAGGCCATCACCATCCCCTGTGGCCCCTGGGGTCGCCACCCCTGTGCTCCCGGTTGCCAGCAGGGAACCCGAGTCACTCAGGAAGGCGCCGCTGCTCCTGAGCCTGGTGGAAGCCCTCAGTTCCTCCCCTGGCTCCAGGGAGATCCTGCTGCTGCTGCCCTTCGGCCTCTTTGCCAAAGGACCCCGTAAGTGCAGCCCTGCACACAGGAAGTAGATCCAGGTGATCAGCAGAATCAAAGCCACCGGGATGTAAAAGGCACCGAGACTGGGACGCCACACCAGCCAGCAGCTAGGGAAGAGAGGAGCAGTGGATTAGGACAGGAGACCGCATCGCTGGCCAGGCGGGGGGGGTCCCAGGAGTGGAGAGGCAGTCCTGGCTTAGTCATATGCAGGGTATGAGTCAGGGTTAGTCAGGCCGCTGACTAGGGCGGGGGTGGGGGGCCTAGGTGGGTAGGTCTGGGGCAGCCATGCAGGCAGCAGTGATGGGCAGCAGGGAAAGGTACTCACTAGGGACTGTGGTCCCGGTAGTTATGGATGTTGACCGCAGCTGTGATGCCACAGATTATAAGTGGGATCCCTCCAGCAATCAGATAGAACCTAGAGGGGGACAGGGTTTCGACATCAGAGATAAGGTGGGAAGGAAGGACCAGGTGCTCAGAGCCCTCCACTCAGTGTCTCTGTCCTACTCTTTTCCCTTTAAATCTGTCACAGGTTGGTTGTTGGTGTTTTGTTGTCGTTGTTTTGTTTTGGGATTTGTTTTATGCCAGGGATGCAAGGCCCCTCCCAGGCAGCCCTGGGAGACAGGCCTTGGCCGAGACTGTTCTAAGGGACAGAGGCTAGAACTGCTGTCAGAAATCAGGGTACCCCTCAGGCTCCTGGGATCCCTGCCCAGTGCTCTTTGGAGTCACCTCGTCCCTGGCCCTGTCACATATGAAGAGCCTGTGGGATGTGCTTACTTTGCAGCTGTGTGGCTGGCTGAGTCTAAGTCCCTTCCCACTGCATAGCTGACTTCAGAAATGCTTACCGGAGCATGGGCCGGGGAGCAGGAGGGGGAGGGTCACCTTCTTGTGGAGGGGGCACCCTCCAGGTGAGCTCCTTGTGCAGGACTCGCGCCTTCACCCCCATCCAGAGCAGTGTGGACAGCGAAGAGTAGTGCAGAGTGATGCCCACCTGTGGTCAAGGCACTGATGCTGGGCCACGGGAGCTCGGCTGGGCCACCCCAGAGCCTGAGCCCTGCCAGTATGCTCCCCTCTTCCCATGTCTGCACCCCCACCCACACAGCTCTTTCTACCCAGCCCCCTGGTGACCAGATACTCTCCACACTCTGTCCACTTCCACCTAGGCTTCACGCCCACCTCAGGGGCTCTTTGGAACCTGCTGTTGCTGTGTGGCTACTCCCTGACTTCTCTTGATCCCCACTTCCACTCTGAAGCCCCACTTCCTACTTCCTCTGGCCTGGTTCCTACCACCCTGGCACTTTCCATGCCACTGCAGGCCCCGAGTCAACCTCCAAGGCTGACAGAGGGAACAGTGGAGCCAGGGCCTGTTCCCAGTGGCCTCTCTTCTTGCTCTGCACCTCATAATCTAATCGTACACTGCCATCGCTCAGCTCGGAGCCCCTGGTGCCCGCTCCACTTACTGCCTGGCAGACCATCTGGTAATTGGTGAGCATAATGCCTCCTGCAAAGACGGCAGCGGTCATGGCCATGTGGAAACATAGGTTCAGCAGCATGTGCCACCCCTTCCGGGACACGTGAATGGAGCTGTCCCAGAAAGAATCTTTCATTAATGGGCTGCCCAGCCCAAGGTCAGACCCATGGGGTCTCAAGGCCGCTGAGAGTGTCAAAGAGGGAAGGCAGATATTTGTGTGCATGCATGTGGATGTGTGTGAACATCCGCTAAGGCCACAGGCAAGAAGTCTGTAACTCCCAGAACATGTGCTCCAGCCCCAGAACCTTCAAATACAGTGCTAGGCAAGAGCTGCAGCAGGTCAGGTGGACCTGCTTGAGAGTCAGCTGCCAGTCCTGGGTGAAACCTGACCTCCTGGGGAGCTCTTACCTGTGGTTGAGGATGTAGGTGATGATGGTGGAGAAGAGGCAGAGAAGCAGCAGTGCTGTGCAGGGATACACGACAGGGTGCAGCCCGGCCCCAGAGCTGCCTGCCTCCTTGGGGAAAGCACTCAGCTCCTGCGAAGGAAGAAGTAAGGAATGAGCCAAGCTTGCCAGTGCCCCAGGCCAGTTTCCTTCTTCCCAAGCCCTCAGTCTTGGGCCTGAGCCTCAGTGCTCAGCTCATCCAAGTGGCACAGATGGAAGCACAGGGTGCCACTTAGAAGTCAGCCAGAGGAGATACTGACAGCCTTCCTTCCCAGTGTCCTGCCTTTCTGGGAACTGCACAATCCAGAAGGAGGGAGCAGGTTCTGTCTGTGACACAGCTGCAGGTCTGCTCAGAATCTGGGGAAGTAGGGTACAAAATATGGTTCGGAAGGGGTCAGGAATGTCGCCAGGGGCCCGGGGATTTAGCTCAGTGGTTCTGCCTGCCTCGAAAGCACCTGAGTTAAAAAAAAAAAAAAGAATGTCGCCAGGTTGGTTTTCCACTTGGAGAATCTTGGCTTCAGGAAGCAGGACATGTGGAGGGCAGGCCAAGTGGTTTCAGATCCAACTCTACACATAAAAGGAGACACAGGCCCTTCCTTCTCCTGTGATGGAGTCTGCACAGTGACAGGGCAATACAGCTGGCATCCTTTCTGTGATCAATCCCCCGCACCACCACCCACACATCCCTTGTTCCTTTCCCACCTGCCCACCTTGCCCTGTCATACCCACCATGAGCACAGCCACACTGCCCAGGTGCTGGCAGTGCAGGGAGCTGGCATTGGGCTGGCTGGAGTGCAGCTGGCAGCCTTCTGAGCTCCAGCCCCCAGGGCCCTCGAAGCTCCACCAGGCTGCCATGGGGTCAGCCCCTTCAGCCCAGTGCCTCAGTGACACAGCCACTGGCTCTGTGAGGTTCCCCACGCCACAGCCACCTAAAGGGAGAGGGAAGTCCGTGTGGGGACACACAGGTTTCAGGGGAGGCTGGCTCAGGTGCAGAGTAGGGTGGGGGGACTGAGTGGCAGCTGTGGCAGCAGTGGAGCTTGCATGGTATCTGCTGGGTGAAGCACTGGGCAGGGCTTGGAGACAGAGTTGGATGCCAAAGTATGAGCCTCAGTCTATTTCGGAGACTGGACAGGGTGAGAAGGAGAAATAAAGTGCTAGCTGGCTGTGGAGGTTCATGCCTGATATTTAGGAGGCTGAGGCAGGAGGATTCTAAGATTGTGCCCAGCCTGGGCAACTTAGTGAGACCCTGTCTCAAAATAAAAAAATTAGTAGGAGGGGATGTGGCTCAGTGTGGAGCGCAACATGCTCCTCCAAGAAGAGAGGACTAGTTGGGAACTCAGGAACAGGGAGGAAGCAGCTAATGTGGCGGGAGCGGAAGGCCAGGTGAAGGCAGGTGTCAGGAGGACACCCTGAGAGGGTCAGCAGGCTGGGATGGAGGAGAGGGAAGAGAGAAGCCCTGAGTAAGCTGTGAGGGGAATGTGCCTGGCACTTGGGCCACACAGACCCTAACCCTGCACTTCTGCTGGCCTGCTGACATCAACTGTACCTTCCCTGGGCAACCTCATCCTTCAGGCCTCAGGAGGCTTGGTTTTCAGGCAAGGCCTTCCTGGCCCCTACCAGGCCTGGTTGTCCCTTGTGACTACACTTACTGAACACCCGGCACTCCTGATCACTGCTAGGGACTTGTTCGCTGCCAAAGGGTGAGTAAGCAGCTATCTGTGCACAGGCACAGGTATGCCCCAGCCCCAGTGCAGCCCGGCTCAGGCAGGCTCAGGGAGCCTTCCCAGCCAGAATGGGATAGGCAGGGGATCCAGGGGAAGACTTGGATGGCATACAGAGGAAGGCAGTTCATCCTATCTATGGCTCGGCACTGGTAATTAAACACAGACACCCCCCCCCTTTGGAGACAGAATCTCCCTAAGTCACTAAGTTCCTCAGGGTAAATTGTGACCCTCCTGCTTCAGCCTCCCAGAATCCCAGGATGACAGGCATGTGCCACCACACATGGCTAGGAAGGCAGTGCTGAGACTCTGAAGGGGCTCTCTGATGTGCCCAGCCATGTTTTACATAAATCAGTGCCAGTGTGAGTGATGAACTGAAGATGAGACCTGGCAAACAAGGTTAGGGTGCAGAAGACGGAGGAGCAGTGGGAGTCACTCCCACTGGCCAGGGAGCTGCCCAAGTGGAGCCCTGAGTGGGGCTGCAGGTGTATCCCTTTGTTCCTGGCACCAGACCTGAGCAAGGCTGTATGTATGTGTGTTTGGCAGTGTCTCCAATTCACCCCATCTCTGTTAGCTTTGTCACTCCCACCCTGGTCCCCACACCCCTCTGGGAATCCTGACCATCCGCAAGGCTTACTGCTCGGTCCCACCTCTGGCCCCTAATGTCGTCTTTCAGGACGGTTCTCACCAGGCCCCCTGCTCAGCAACAGTCTCCTCAGCCTCTGTCTAAGGTGGTCCTGGATATGACCCCAGCCTCCAACTGCTCAGTAAGACAGTGGCCATGTGTGGCAGGTCATGGGCTCCATGTTCATTCTTGTATCACAGGGACAGTGCCTGCCACGGGCCATGTGTATTGAGGCAGGAAGTACAGTGTAAGTGTGTAGAAGTTTATGCCTAGAGCCCTCCTAAAACCTGCTGTCCTCTGGCACCCGTCCTCCACCTGTCCCCACCCTCTTAGGAACTAGTGAGGGACCCTCCATCCTTGGCCACCTCCACCAGGGAAGTAGGGGCTGGAGGTGAAGGAAGGGCAGACACACGAAGGGAGTTCAGTCCCTTACTGATCCCTGCGAAGATGACAGGGGTGGCCACACTGCGCCTCTTGCCAGGCCCAGCAGCTCCAGGGCGGGAGGTGTTGCCATGGCTTCGGAAGAGGCGGCCGTTTCGGAAGACCAGCAGTTGCAGGGTGCAGTCTGGGGGGGCCGGGGGAGCCAGGGAAGCCGGAAGGGATGAGAAGAGGCTGGGGGGCAGCTGGATGGAGGCCAGGGCCACGCTGTTCTGGGGGGAAAGAGGAGCTCCTCAGGGACCTCACCACCCCTGGACTCTGAAGTCTTCCAATGCTGTCTCCTTCAGCCACCCACCTCTACCAGCAGACCATCATCTCAGACCTCCCCTCCTGCCGCCTGTCCCCCACCACCCCCCATGCCCACCTTGATGTGGAAGGATGACAGAGAGATGTTGGGTCTCCCAGTGGTGCAGCGGAAGCGGAGGTGCTGGTCAGTGAGGGGCTCAGGCTCGGGTGGGGTGCTGTGGCCAGGGCTGCCCAGCCGTGGCCCAGCCACCCCCACCTCCTGCCTCTGGAAGGCTGTGCAGGTCAGACCCACGTAGCTCTGTGGCTTGATGAGGTAAGCCTCCAGCGCCACGTTCCTAGAGTTCTAGGGCAGAGACCTCGTCACCCTGCCATTCGAGATATGGCAGCTTTCCATACTGCACATGTCCTGTGTGCAGGTCTTCTTGTGCTATGCCCACCACCCTTTATTCCTCACTGTCTTTTCAAAGCATGGGCTGCCTTAGTGTGCTGGGGGTCTCCCGCCCACGCCTTGCCCAAGGACCTTCTGCTTCTGCTATGGCACTGGTGCTGCCACCAACACTCTTATCCTCTGCATTGCTCACCTCCTTCTGTTGTTTTTTGGAGACATGGTCTCACTTATGTAGCCCAGGATGGCCTCAAACTTGAGATCCTCCTTTCTCAGCCCTGAGTGCTGGGATTACAGGCCTATAGCACCACACCTGGCTACTTTGTTCTCTTCTTAAAATGTGCTAATTCTTTTGCCTCAACTTGGTTGTAGAGCAGGGTCCACAGCTAACTTTTGCACCTCCCAACTGCCCAGCACAGTATCTTGCATGTAAAAGCAGCTCTACCATGGCTGTTAATTGTTTATCGACCCCACCAAGTTGGAAACACTGCCTCAGGGAACTTCCATCCCTTATTATTTCTTTTTGGTACCAAGGATTGAACTCGGGTCCTTGCGCTTGCAGGGCAGGTATTGTTGCAAGTGACCAGGCCTTCCTCCTGTTCCTCTGGCTTCTGCTTGTGGCCATCAGGCCAGCCCTCCAACTCAGTCCTGCCATGAAGTCTCCCAATACTTCAGCAGCCCAGGCCTTGCCCTCTGAAATGGCCCCTGACACCTCAAACTTAGCTCACTGTCCCTGGGGGCATAGTGGAGAGGGAGGAAAGGGCTCCCCTCTTGGGGTGATGGGAGCAGGAGCCACTCAACTCTGAGGTCCCTCCCCCATGCTGATCCACATTACCACAGAGATGTGCTGGGCATGGGGGCTGAGGACAGCTCCCCCGATGCGCTCCAGAGCACCCAAGATGACACTGCAGGCCTTGTCCTCACGCTGGGCCAGCCACAGTAGGTGCTCATCCACTAGCATCAGGTTGCTGGCCATGTCCACCATCACCTCTGCCAGCTGTGGGGGAGAGCAGGGTGGTCAGAGGGCAGGAGTGGGGTTGAGACCCAGGGGCTGAGCCCATGGGGGTGTTGCTTTCTAGGAGCCCAGAGGACAAAATCTCACCTCTTTGATCTGGTCAACATAACCCAAGAATTTCTGGATCATCTGAGCCACATAGACTACATCCATCATGTCCGAGAAGCTGGCAGCCTCAGCTGTGTACACTCGCAGCTGGTGGGCCAGGGTCAGCGCGTTGGAGGCATTGATGGGCATCTGAGGGTGTTGGAGGAAGAAAGAGGGGCATCCTGCTTCCTGTCTTATTTGACTGCCCCTAAGGCCCCTCTGCTAGGGCCGCTGTGCCTGGGGAAAGGGGCCTAGACCACCTGCTTGTCTAGTCAAGGTAGGAGGTAATACGAGGCTTTGATCATCACCACCTAAGGCCACCTACCTCTAGCACCAATGACAAGAGGACCGTGTCTTGATGTGTTGGTGCCAGAGGGGAATGGGGTGGAGGCCCCTGGGGTGGCCTTGGTGGCTCTGAACCCCGGAAGAGGGAAGGTAAAGGAACGCCAGGGGAGAAGGTATTGGCCCCCAGTCCTCTCTGGGCACCCTGGAGGCTGGGCTCCCCTCCCCTTCGGGTTACTGGGCTCCGTTTCATCCCGCCCCTCCACCCCAGCCTCACCAGCACGAAGGTGTACAGCACCCTGGTGATGTCGTTGGTGTACAGGCAGTGGGAGTAGTCCCCTGGCTCCCAGCGGCCAGCCCGGTCGCAGCGGCGGGAGGCTCGGGTACCTGGGGCACCTCCACTCAGGGGCACCGAGGTAAAGGGATACTGTAGGCAAGGCTGGTAGGCTGTGATGCCAGCCAGAGTTCGAGGCCACCTGGGGGCAGAGGCAGGAAAGTGCCATGACCCAGGCTCCTCAGGAGAACCCCTCCCACCCCTACCCTTAGAACTGAGGCTGACCCTGGGCCTGGGGGAGGAGCCAGGAGAGGGTGCCAGAGCATGTCTAAGGGGTTCCTGGTTTCCATTTGCTAACTCTGAGCGAGCTCTAAGTGTTGGCCCAGATGACAGTGATTCTGTTTAAATCCAAGCTGTGCCACTTACAGCATTAGGCAAGTCCCTTGTTCTATCTGGGCTCCTATTCTGGGCTGTACAGTGGGGAAACTCATACCTGCTCTGCCTTCCAGGGAGGGCTGTTGGGATGTTAAAATGTGACAGTGTTTGTGGGAGACCTTTGCCAACTATTAATGTAAGGAAGCCACAAGAAGCCTTTGTGCTGTGTGTAGTGTATCCATAGGGCTACGATCTTCTGAAATGACTCCATGACAAGACGACAGTATAGCCTCTGGTCCCCAGCACTCTCAGGTGCAAGAGTGGGTGTGGAGCTGGGGCAGCAGATCTGGTGATGGTCGGATCTTGGGATTGCCCTCGCCAGAGCAGAGCAGCGCGAACCTGAAGTCCCCGCGGTTGTTGGCGACACGCTCGGCAGGGCAATAGGAGGCGGAGGTCTCCAGCACCACGATCTCCACCTTCTTGCTGGCGTTGCCCTGGACCGTGGACACCGTGCACTCCCATTCGCCTGAGGCCCACACGCCGATGTGAGACAGGGTCAACTCACTGCAGGCAGGCAGGTGGGCGGGCACCAGCTCGTTGAGGTGCTCTCAGCCCAGCCTACCACTGCCCTCCATGACTCTGGCCAGTTCCCCCATGGGTGCCCTGCTTATGCCTATGTCCTTCAGTGCACCGGGGACACAGGCGCAGGCTCCTTCAATTCTCATCGTCCTCATGGTATTATTTTCCTGAGTTTCAATTTCCCTTTATTCATTTATTTATGGTCCTGGAGATTCACCAAGGACTTTGCACTGAGCTGCATCCCCAGCACATTTTTATTTTTTGCTAACGGCCTCCCAGAGTGCTAGGTTTTCAGGTGTGCACAATCACATCTGGCAAATCTCCATATCTTTTCTATGGAGATAATTATACTCTTACAGGTCTACTGCAGAGATTAAACCTGTTAATAAAGATGAGCCACTATATACACTTTAAAAACACTAAAGAGATGTCAAATGTCACTTTTTAAATTCCTAAGCTTGGGGCCGGGGATGTAGCTCAGTGGCACGTGCCTGCCTGGCAACAGCGAGGTCCTGAGGTCAATCCCTGGTACCAGGAAAAAAAAATTCCTAAACTCTATCCAGACCACTTATGATTGAATCTTAGATCTACACACACACACACACACACACTCCCAAGCACCTGTCCGGGCACAGCTCTTTCAGGGGTGGGTGATGCGTATTGCAGCCACCCCACCCAAAGGGGGTGGCCCAGCGCGTACCTGGTGATGAAGGTACAGTCGTGCACGAGGCTCTTGGCCAGGAGGATGCCTGCCTGCTCGTCTCCCTCCACAGGGGCCCGGTTGTGGTACCAGTGGATGCGGGTGTCGTTGCCCAGGTAGCTGGCAGAGCACTGGAAGGGCAGCCGGTCACCCTGGAACACCACTTGGCGCAATGAGGGGATGAGGTGATGGGTGTGCAGCTCCAGGGCCCCCTCTGCGAGGAAATGCAAGCAGTGAGGCCTGCATGTGTGAGGGCCCACCTGGCAGGGTTGGGAGGGCAGGAAGGAAAGGGGTCAAGAGAAAGTCTCCAGAGGTGAGCGCAAAGGAGGAGAGGGCAGGTTTGGGACACAGAGGAAGGCTCCTTTTAGGCACCAAGAGGTTGGGACCAGATGGAAATGTGACAGAGCAGGCAGCCCCAAAGAGGCTTAGAAAAGGTGATAGAGGGCTGCCCTGCAGACAGAGGAAGGAGGAGGACATGCCCATCACATGGTCACACAGTGCGTGCAGGCTGCGGTGAGGGCAGGGTCCTGGGGCTGGGCTCACCGCAGCGGAGCTGTGTCTCCTGCAGGCCACCCAGGGCCCGGGCGTGCAGGGCGCTGGGATAAGCACACAGTGTGTGCTCAGACAGCTGCAGGGAGTGATTCCGGGCCCAGGGCAGCAGCCAGCCCAGGTGGCAATCGCAGGTCAGGAACTCAGTGCCAAAGTCCCTGTGGGGTGGGCAGAGGGGTCATAGAATAGAGGGATGGGGATGTGGCTGAGGTCGGCAGGGCTGGAAAGGGCAAATGCAGGCCTCTGTGTACTCTCTCCATGGGGCACTGTGTTCTGCCTGCTCATTGGGCTAGCCACAGCTCCACAGTGCTGCCACATCTGCCTCCTGGGCAGAGGAAAGAGGCAGGGTCCGCTCTTGGGGTGGGAAAGATACTTACATGACCTTAAGGGCTGGCAGCTCATCGAAGACCCCGGCATGTAGACTGGAGAAGATGTTTCCAGATATGTTCCTGCAGGGGTAGGGGAGCAGGGAGCCAGGTGTCAGAGCCTTCCTGGGCCAGAGGAAGGAGGGTGGGAGGAAAGAATGCAGGGACTGTGGGTGCCGCCTTCCTCACTCCCCTCACTCACAGCCGGAGAAGCCTGGGAAGGCCTTGGAAGGTGTCGGAGGTGAGGCAGCCAATCCGGTTGTTGGAGAGATCTCTAGAGAGAGACACACACTCAACACATAGGTTCCATGGTGGCACATGGTTTGCTTATGACAGCCACATGTGTACACCTGGGGGGTGCGTCGGGAGAGGGTTGGGACCCAGTGCCACAGAGGGCTTGAAATGCCCATGCATTTGATCCCAGCCAATGTGCCCAGTAGAGGCTGGGGCTGGGAAACAAGGACAGTAGGGGTGACCCGAGACTTTCTCTGGAGTTTAGGGGAGCAGGGTGGTTGGGGGCAGGACATGCCACTCACAAGCGCTTCAGCTCCCCCAGGCCCAGGAAGGCTCCAGGCTGCACCACGCTGATGACATTGTTCCTCAGGTCCCTGTGGAGGCATGGGGAGGCCTCAACCTCTCCCGCTCTGGGGCCCCTGCTCCCTGGGTGGATGCCTCACTCTCACCACAGGTGCTGGCTCGCTTTGGGACTCGATTTCCTTCTAGATCTCTGCTCTCCTCAGCCCTGGCAGGATGCCCCCTCGAAGCCCCAGGAGGGCTCCTCAGCCTCTCTGGCTGCCATCAAAGGGGCTTAGTCAGAAAATGTTAGATGTAGGAGCCAAGAGATGGGACAGGAAGGCCTCAGATGAGGAGGAGTAGAGGCCACATAGGACGGACAGAGCACTGCATGCACAGGGAGTCAGAAGGCCGCCACAACCCACACTGCTCCACCTCCAAGCTGCCCAGGGCCTTGAGGACCTCTCAGAACTTCCCTGGAAACCCCGAGTCCAGGTGTTGAAGTCTTCTCTGGATATGACAGCTACTGTATCCCTGCAGCTCTCTCCACCAGCTGGAGGACACAGAGCAGGTGGCTGCTGGTGAACTAATGGGCTCTGCCCAGTCCAGTCCAGACTTCAGGGTCTTCAGATGAGGCCCGGGGGCACAGGCCTGTTCGAGGTCCTCAGTTCTGCTTGAGGTCCTCAGTCCTGCTTCTCCACTGCTCTCTTAGGAATCACAAAATCAGCAGCCACAGAAGCGTGGCTTCCGGGCGGGACAAGAAGAGGCCCGGGCCAAGCTCCACCCTGCCTGGGGCAAAGGATGGCAGCCTCTGACCTTGTGTTACACAGAGACCACAGTACGACTGTCAGGCTGCAGGTAGTTCCCACCCACTGGGGATGGGTGGCACCTGCACCTGATAGAGCAGGCTTGGAGACTACTGAGGGGACCCCCAAGGACTAAGGTTGTGCTGGACCACCATCTCCCTTAGCCCATCCTCTGTGCCAAGCACAGCCAGGGAGAGAGCTGCCTAGAGGCCTGAGGCCCCACAGAGCACTTCCGAGGCCTTACTGCTCAGAGGCCTGCTTGCCTGCCTGTGTCCCAGTGTCCTCTAGGACTGTACCCATCCAAGGGCCCGGGAGATGGGGAGGCAAAGGGCGAGTGTGGGTGGCTCCTGGAATAAGCTCCGAGTCAGAGGGGCTGTGGCAAGAACACAGGGTTGCTAGGGGAGTTGACAGAGGGATGAGGGGCCAACCTGCGTGCCAAGATCCTGCCACCCCTCCCCAGCCTAGACAGAGGCAGGGGGTTTTGGCTCTGCCAACAAAGCCTCAGGATAGGCCTGGATTACCAGCAGGAGGAGGGCGAGAGGAGATAGGTGTCCAGGCCCTGGAGGCTGTTGCTTGCTTGTGCACAATCCCAGCACCGGCCAGAAACCCAGGGGTGGGGCTGGACCAAGTATCCTGCTCAGCCCTTCCCACAGACAGGACTCAGCTGGCCTCTAGAGCCCTGGGTCTGCTTGTGGAAGAGGAAAGACACCGAAGGAGCCCGCATTGTGCTCCTGATGCTGGGCATGCAAGACCTGTGAAGGTGACAGGTCCCAGGACACTGCAGGCAGACACTGCAGTCTGCCTGGGGGTGGCGCCCTTCCTGCCCACAGTCCTTTGCTGCCAGGCCCTCCCTCCCTGCTGGCCCCCTTGGTGCTGCAGCCTGCACCCCAGGCTGCTGGTGGGATCTGGCCATTGTCAGGACTCTGCTTCCCACCCCCACGCGGGGACAGCAGAGGGAAACACATTCCTCATTGTGTCACTTCCCTTCATGGGCTGCCAGGGGTGGGGGCTGCAGCCCCCCCTCCTGCTCCGTGTGCTGTGTTTATTCTCATTTCCTCTTGGCCCCCTGGTGAGCCCCACCCGCCTGCCCCACTGATGCTCTGCAGATGGGAGTGAGGCGGTCCGTCAGGCCCAGCCCCTCTTCCTGCCCTCGATTTTCTGCGGCCTATCTGTGGGCCTCTGGTAGAGGGGAGAGGTGCCACTCTCTCCCCTTTGCACGCCTGCCAGAGGAGTGCCTTCAGGGATCCAAGCAGGATGCAGGCCAGTCCTAGCCCCCATGGGTCCAGGCTGTTCCCTAGGGTGAGTTCTGACAGCCCAATGGACCTCAGGCAAGTGACGCCTCCTGGTACCTCAGTAAGGAGAGCAGCTCTGGGGTTGCACAGCTCTGGGGTTGCACCACCTGGGGCAGGAAAAAATTCGGCCACCCAGCTTGGACACTGGATCTGCAAGGCACCTATTAATTGGTGGTTCTGAGCCCTTCTTGTTTAGCATATCCTTTGGGAAATCTGATGAAGGCCACAGACTCCTGTCCTTGAAAAATGGACTACACTCAACATCACACACAAGAGTTCAGGGGCACTGTGGAACTTGGGTTAAGAACACTTGCTCTGGATTATCTGAACTGATCCTCTCATTTCTGTCTCTCTCTTTCACTGGAAACTGAACCCAAGGCCTTCACACTGAGCAATATCCCCAGCCCTTTTACTTATTTATTTTATTTTTCATTTTGAGACAAGTCTTCCCCAAGTCATTAAATTGCCCGGTCTAGGTTGAACTTTCAGTCCTCCTGCCTCAGCCTTCCACAGTGCTGGGATTACAGGTGTGCATCACCATGCCTGGCTGCTACCCTCATTTCTTAGGGCCAAGACGTACAGATCTTCCATTGCCTGTCTGCTTCCATAGAATCTGTTCCTGGAAACTGAGAGAGATGCAGTGCACTGCCAGAACTCTCTGCCCACCTGGACTACATGCTGCACCCTTGTCTGCAGGCACAAACCCCCCTCCTGTATCCACATCACTGTGGCGGAGAAGGACCCTCAGGCGGAAGTGAGGAGGGCTCCTGGGAGCAACTGTGCACTGTGCCCTGAATGTGTAAGAGTGAATGTGTGAGCTCAACCACAAGAGAGAAAGTTGATGAGTTGGACATGAGAATTTTAAACCTTTATCCAGGCTTGATGGTGCACCCCTGTAATCCCAGCAATCCAGAGGCTGAGGCAGAAGGATTGCCCATTTCCAGGCCAGCGTGGGCTACGTAGAGAGACCCTGTCTCAAAATCAAGAAACAGGGCTGGGGATTTGGCTCAGTGGTGCCGCCACCTGCTTTGCAAGCGCAAGGTCCTGAGTTCAATCCCTGGTACCAACAAAAAAGTAAAGAAACAAAGACAAGACCCTGTTTCAAAATAAAGAAATTTAAAAAGGGCTGGGAAATGTAGCTCTGTGTGAAGGCCCTGGGTTCAATCCCTAGTACTACAAAAATAAAGACACAAATAAACTTTTATATCTCAAAGACCACCTTCCATAAAGTGAAAGCACACATGTATCAGCTTCCTATGATGAATATAATCAGTATGTACTGCAAACTAATTAATGTAATTTTTTAAAAAAGAAAGAAAATCAGAGAATGAAAGAAGATATTTGCAAATCAGATATCAGATAAGGAATTTTTATCCAGAATACATAGAGAACTCCTACAACTCAGTAAGAAAGACAAGCCAGCTGGAAAAAATTGGGTAAATTATTTGAATATCTCATTTCTTCAAAGAAGTCTTCAGGCACATAGCTATAGTCCCAACTATGGGAGAGGCTGAGGTAGAAGACTCCTGGGCTTGAGCCCAGGACTTTGAGGGCAGCCCAGGGAACATGGCAGGATCCCCGCAACTCATATTAATGGCCAATAAACCTACCAAAAGATGTTCCATGTCGTTAATCATAAGGGAACTGCAAATCAAAATCACAAAGAGATACCACTTTATATCACTGAAATGACTATAATAAAAAAGACAAGATCTGGGTGTGGTGGCACACAGATTACAGATCCCAGAATTGGGGAGGCTGGGGCAGGAGGATTGTGAGTTCATAGCCAGTGTGGGCTACATAGCAAGTTCCAGGCCAGCCTGGACTATATAGTGGGACCCTGTCTCAAAAGAAGAAAAAAAGTAATTTTTAGAAAGATAATATCAAATGTTGATGAGGATGTGGAGAAACTGGAATCTTTACCTATTATTGATAGGAATGTAAAATGATACAGCCACTTTAAAAAATAGTTTGGCATTTAGTTACCGTCCAAATGGGGCTGGGGATTTAGCTCAGTGGCACTGTGCCTGCCTGGCAAGCTCAAGATCCTGAGTTTAATTCCTGGTACCGGCAAAAAAAAAAAAAATTAAAAAATAGAATTACCTTCTAACCCAGCAATTCCATTTCCTAGGTATACATCTAAGAGAAGTAAAGAAACACCCCACACACAAATGTGCAGGGAAGTTCTCAGAAGCATTATTTATAATAGCCACAAAGTGGAAGACACCCAGAAGTTCAGGATCTGATGAATGGATTAAAAACATGGTATATTGATATGATGGAATATTACTGGCCACAACAAAGAATAAAGTGCTGATGCATGCTAAAATGTCAGTGAACCTGGAAAATGTTACACTGGGTAAAAGAAGCCACTCATAAAAGATTACATATTATATAATTCCACTTCTATGACATGGCCATAATAAGCAAATCCATAGAGACAGAAGTAGATTAGTGGTTGTTCAGGGCTGGGGAGGAGGGAGTGGAAGAACAGGGAGTGACTACAAGTTATTCATGGTTCTTCTGTGGATGATATAAATGTTCTAAAATTAGATGATGGTGATCACATAATTCTGCAAAATTCACTAAAACCCACTGGACTGTGTACTTTAAACGGGTGAATTTTATGGTATATAAATTAGATCTCATTAGAGCTCTCAAGAGTGTGTGACAATGTGTGTGCCTGTTCCACATTCAAGCAGAGTGGGGTGCCCAACACTGGCTCCCTCAGGCCCCCACAGACCTCCCTGCTTGTGGGTTTGAAAACCAAATTATAGGCTTGGAGGCCACAGAGCAGCTTGCCCTGGGCCCTACAAGACTTCCAGGGTTGACGAGAAAGTGGGCCAGCTGTGACGTGGGCCAGAGCACCCCTGCAGGTACAGAGGCTGTTGGGGGAAAAGGGGGAGAGGTTCTGGGTCCCAAGAACCCCACTGAGGCCCAGCCTCCCTCCCACACCCTCTCCCAGGCCCTCCTGTCTCTGGTATCTCCCAGCAGGTA